CTGTATGTTTATTACAGAGTAACAAAACAATAAGCAATCTAGAAGTAGTGACTAGTGAAGCATGTGTACATGTAGAGAGAGAAGAGTGAGAACTGAGAAGGGGAGTGGTGGACAGAATGGTAGTATGGTACTATCATATGATACTAGAACTTAGAAGATGGGAGAGGTCAGAGGTGTCGGAGCCTCGGAGGCGGCATTGTGAATGCGAATGGATTCAAAGGATGTTTGGATCATGAGTTACAAGTGTGATTAGTGATATGTAGTAATGTAAATATAATTATAGGTACATGTATGTATTAACAGAAAATTTGACACATTCATGGAATTAATAACATACAATTTACATTGATGTCCCCATCCCCACAAATAAAATAAGAGTACATTATATTACGTATTTTTCGAAAATTTGAAACTATGAAAATGGCTCTGGATACATAGAAAATGGAGCGTCTGGAAGAAAATGGGAATTCTGGAGCTTCAAAAAATGGCTCTGGTGAAAAAAAAAGTATTTTTTACCCTGGCTGTGCACATCTCGGGTTTAATTGTTTTGACTGTCAGCTACTTGCACATACCTGGTACCCGGGTTCGTGCTAGGTTGCTTACCCCCGTGATTCCTTGCTAGCACATGAACTTTTGCTGATATTACATTAAGGTTAGGTTACATCATTGTTTGGGTTAGGGATACTGGGTGGACTGATGATATACTGTATCCAACTTTTCAGAGTTATTCACTTACTGTCATATAGATCGTGTCTAGTCATTGCAATAATGTACATGCACCCTGACAGTGACACTTTGATTTGAAGTCCAACAGTAACCATAGAGTTACCATAATGTAGGTATTATTGTACATAGTATGTTTCCATTACAGTGACAGTGCAAGACTGCCCGATGGTGATGAACCTGTCTGTAAAGATGCTGCCTTTAGCCAGTTTTGTAGAGATTTAAGATGTCCAGAAGACATTTCAGCCAAAGCCTTGGCAATATGGGCTAAGCTTTTCTGTGTAGTAAGTGATATACAAGATTTTAAGGTATGTATAATATATATGTTTCTTAAAAGATATAACCATTATGAAAAAAGTACCACCTTAAAGTCCTGATTATTTGTCATCAAAATTAACATATATTTAAATAAAAATTTACATCGCAGATTTGCTTTGTTTATTAATTATAAATGCATGCATTATAAAAAGTATGCACATAAATTAAATATGACCCCGGAATACTAACAAGGATATAACCAAACAAAAAGTATGACAAATACACTTAATTTGCATTATGGTCGGGACCGTCCATGTGCATCTACATTCCATTATGCTTTGTCAAGATTCCCACAACTTTTCATGTGAATCTGTTAGATGTAGAGACCTGCTATAGTAACATACATCTATTCTTTATTACATTATAATTTATTTCATTTAGCATTATAAGTTCAATTGACATTAATTCCAGTGTTTCCCCTGCATTGACATGAGCGAGGCGCCGCCTCGCTCAATTCTCAGCCGCCACACTGAAATTTGTCCAAAACACCGCATCGCTGAAATCGAAAATCACTGTTCTTCCGTAGAACAGTGCTTATAATGCACCAAAATAGCTTAGAATGCACCAAATTGGACCATTTTTTCTAAAAATTTCTAGGTGGCATGCCCCCGACCTCACTAGCTGATTGAGTGCTTTGCTAGGACCTCAAAACGCGCTAACACATACACAAACAATTTACCACCTCACAGACCTTTTTGGCCAGGGGAAACACTGGAGCGATATTTTTAACATTTACGACGTCCTGAATGTTGAATTTCAGCATAACATTTGGCTTTTCCAATTATGGCATTAGTAAATGGTACAGCACTTGACCTGAGACCATTATTATGTGGTAATTAAAAGACTAATAATCACAGATTAGGCATGCGTGGCTTTCTATGACTGTATGCCGTTACTTTGCTCTTCCTACAGTTTATTGTATATATATACACACTATAGTGATGTTGCAGTGAAACATTCCTTGGCCATATTAGAACTAGTAGTATAATCAGTTTTCGCAGACTATAGTCTTTTCTTGATATGAACGTGATACCAACATAATATGGTAGCAAAATTTACTATGCGTTATATTATATTTGTTTGGCATTATGCAATTGTATTATATTTGTATAAATGTATTCTTCAGTGATAAATTATATATGTATGTTTATGTATTTTATAGGTCAACCCACCAGAATGGTACATCTGTGTAATCTACATTGCATCACTAGATATTAGGTATTTGGTAAATTAATAATAAAGTATCACACTAGAGTGTCAGAACATGAGTTTTTAGCTCATCTGACATAGTCAGATGCAGCTTGTAGAATCGCTTGATCGTCCGTCCGTCCGTCCGTCCGTCCGTCCGTCCGTCCGTCCGTCCGTCCGTCCGGTCGTCCGTCAACAGTTGGGCACAAATCTTAACCGCTCGACGTACGGTCACGATATTCGGGTCGTTGGGGGGGACGATCGAAGTTAAGGAGTGAATGTTCCCCCTTCTTTTACACCTCTTGACCTTTGACCTCTGACCCCCAGCTTCGACATCCCAACTCGTTTTGACGAAAAAACTTTTTTGTTTCAGCGGTGACCTAGCATTTTTATGGCTTTATTGAAA